ATACCAGGACCTTCCTTGCAAGTAGCATATCCTAAATGGAAAACATGGTTATATCATATCATTGATGGAAAGCTAGGATCATTCAAAGCCTTTGCAACTTAGCTTGCTTGGAGTATCCCAGAAAGGGTTAGCAAAAACTGGGATAGGATGAGATAAGGTATTGCATACTAGGATTAGCATACTGGGTAACTAATGTTTTGATTGATTTGAAACTTCTAAAAAAAATTCACAGGAGTTACATATTAGTCATCCCAAAAAGTTCATATGAATTAGAGTATTGTTTAGTGTGTGTTTGCATTTAGAATTTGTGTAATTACTATACATAGACTTTTTTTCTTTAGAGAATTGAGTTCTTAGTTTGTATAGTACAAAGAGGTTTTACATACTTTTTCTTGAGATTAATTAGTTGGTAGTTAGCTCTGTATTTAGATCTAATGGACTTGTCTATTGCTTATGTGAGCAAGTTTCTGGCTATATCTAAGAATTTCTAGGAAAGGAATATGAACTGACTTGAAATTTGATTTTAAAATTGAATTCCATTAATAGTTCTTTCATAATACTTTCTTTCAGTTTTTCATTGAAATATAAATCTTGATGTCATAGGCAGATATGAAAAATCATATTTGTACTCAAATACCAAATATTTACACTTGTTTTTAATGTGCATTTAATTATCTAAGTCTCCACTAAATCTGATTTACATTTTTTATATCTGCCTTACAAATAGCAATAGTACATGCCTTGGTTAGTGGTTGACAATGCGTGTGTTGTCTCATTCTGTCTGCTTGCTCTTCTCTCTTCCTTGCTTCCCAAGACCCAAAGAGGAAAGAGAGGATGGGAAAGGATCTAAGGATGATGATGATGATGAGATTAAGGAGGAAGAAGAGGAGGAATGTAATGAAAAAGAGAGATTTTTGTTTGGATTTCGTATGGAAAACAAGATGTAAGTAAAAAATTGCAAGGAGTCTAATTGGAAGAATGGTTTTGTAGAGGATTTTTACATCTTGTAGAAGGCCAAGTATTATGTCAGTCTGGTTTGCCAGCTCTGCATTATAGGATTATAGTAGTATATATTTTAAGAGTTGGTGATAGATCAGTGATCAGATGTTTTTATTTTTTTATTTAATATTATATAATTTTTTCTGTATTTCAGATGCCCAAATGTGGTTGATATTGATACTTTTTATTTCCATTAAAAAAAAAATCCTTTAAAAGCCGAATTCCATTTCTTGTAACATTGAGGTCGCAGTTCATCAGAAGCATCTTTGAGTCCTTAAATTCTTGATTTGACCAATCTGATCTAACATCTGTCATGTAAATGATTTGGCCTTTCTTAACCCCTTCCAGAATTTGTTTGTGCAGTAGGTATTAGAGACCCAGAAGGCTTGAAAAGACAAGTATGGTCAAGCAGTAATTGTTTGAGCAGATTTGGTGACTTGATTGTCTACTTGTTGTCGCCACATTCAAATATATCATAAAAGTCTGTATGCTGGAACTAACATTGAAACCAGTCAGTGAAATTTTGAGTCCTGAGAATTTTCTTTTTAATACCTCTCTACCTTCACCAGTGCTTGCTGTGTGGTTGCACTGGCTTCAAAGAGCCATGCCTGGGACCACCATGTTTGGTGTTGTGTGGCGTTTTAATCTATACCACCTGGAGGTTTGCCCCCCTTACGTATAAACTCAGTATATGTTGTGACTTCCCAAATGCTGATGTGCATTGCTGACCCCATGTAGGTACTCAGTTGTAAGCATTTTAATTTTTTTTCATATTTTCTTCCCCCCACAAGAGGAGTCAGACTTCAGGGCCCTTCCCCTCACTTCTGATAATATCATCTAATATTTGATATGAATACTGTAAAGGTTATTATACTGCATAAGGGATTTGTATGATAAAGACCGGAATGAATTGCAGGCTCAGACAGCTTGAACTGGATCTCATTCTTACCACTTATTGTGTACACTTCTTATTTCCTGGAAATGACTAATCATTTTTACTGTATATTTATGATGTTGAGTTTATATTTAGATTGTATTTTTAGAAAAAAGAAATCTGGTAAGCTAGTTTTGTTGGCCTTCATTTTTTGTATCCCCTTCTGGTAATTGATTAATGTTTTGTGATTATTTTTATAATTTCAGTAATGAAAAAAAATGTAATATCACTTTTTCAGTGGTTCCCAAACATTATAAGGTAGTAGCACCTTGAATTCACTTAATTCTTTTTTGTCCTTAACCCCTACCCCCACCCCTGAGTACATATTTGCTTGCTCCGTGAATTATCAGTTCTAGCTAAAGAAACATAGGTTAAGTGACCAAATATGACAAACATTAAACTAAACGGAAGAATAAAAGTAACTTCAAATTCAGATACTGGAAACTTGTAGCATCCAGACTAGGAACCACTGTCAAACTTGTAGCATCTAGTCTAGGAACCACTGTTGAGATTCATAAAAGAAAAGATTCTTTGTTGTGAAGTTGTCTGTTCTAGAATTGAAATATTTTGATCTTGTTTAAGTTGTCTGAACCATTAATCCCGTATTTGGCTTTGATAAAATACACAAATAAATGTATCTTAAGTTTGGGGGTCAGAAAAGAAATATTTTACAGTTTATCGTTATTGAGATTATGGCATTTATTTATATCAATTGTATCACAAGCATTATAAATGAAAGCAAATAGAACTAGAATATTATTTTGATGTGGATTGTGCATTCTGATAGGTTTTGCCACGGAAGTCTAGAAATAACACATGCATACACAGCTTGTACATATGCAGATTTTGATTTTTTGTATAAATCCTCAAATACCAAAATTTTAAAATAGAATAGTAAGAAAAGACAGGACCCCATAATGGGACAGGTAAATATATATTGCTACAAGTTCTTGGAGAGTCAGTCACTTGTGGGAGAAAGGTATACTTGTCAAACTTTAAGTCTTTCTCCCTTAATACTCTTGCTTCTTGGCATGCTTGTAATGGCACACCCTTTTAGGAATGCTTAGGCCTACTTCCTTCCTTTCTGGCTCTGTGCCCCTGAGCACTACTCTGATGTTGGTAATAATCTAGCTTGTTCCGTGTTTTTCCTACTCTGTATGTTGAATGTTGGCTTGCAATGCATGGACAGCTTTTGTGATTGTACTTGTAAGAATGTTTATTGTAAGTCATATGTATTATCAGTTTGATATTTAGTATATCTACAGTAATGTTATTCAAGTATTAGTTGAATGTTGAAAAGTTGTTGATAATAGTTGTATTTTCATGTTTTTTTATTTTTATTTTTTATTTTTTTCAAAAGATGGAATGTCAAACAGAGCTGTCATAGAAGCTAGTATATTAGAGCTATGGGTTTGATTGAAGGAGAAATAGTAGAAGTTTAAAAGTAAGATGCACTTTCCTTCTTTTATGCACATAACACATTGTACATGCATATGCTTTTGTTTCCCCACTTTTTATCTGACCGTTTACTAACAATATACTAACTAACATTATTTACCAGGGGTATGACAGTCACCTCAGGCAGTGTCAACCTTGAGAAAGATGACAGTAACCTCATCGGCATTAGTATTGGGGGCGGAGCTAAATACTGTCCATGTCTCTATGTTGTACAGGTAATTTAGAAAATGACATTTGCCTATTTTTTACCTATAAGCTTATGTGTGTGTGTGTTGAATATATATGTGAATTTTTTTTGATTATTTTAAGAATGGAAATACTGTACTACTATCTCATTGTATATGCTGCTAGGATTGTAGCTCAGAGCTCCAACTATGTATGTGCCATCTATGTATATACCATTTTGCTTGTACTGGGGTTATAGGTACTGATTTGAATTGCTATAAAAGTTTATCCTTCAGTTATAAAAGCAGCTATTATGAAGTCATAATAAGACTTTTCACAACATTTCCTTATCTTCTGTTGTACCTATTGCAGTGTCCCATACCAATTTTATTTATTTGTATTTACTCATTTTTCTAGAATACTATTGATATTGTGTTTCATGGCATGGATGTTAAAAAAAAATAATTACAAATGAAATCCCAAGCTATCAAAGACAATCTGCCTGTACAGGTCTTTGACAACACTGCAGCATCTCGGGATGGCACCCTACAAAGTGGAGATGAGATCACCGGGGTGAACGGAGTGAATGTGAAGGGGAAGTCCAAGCAAGAGGTTGCACAGCTCATACAGCGGTCAGAGGTATGTTGGGGTCTTTGGTTTTAAGATGCGAGTTTTCCGAAATGGAGAAGTTGATTTTGCAACTTTATAGATAAACTGAAAGTGGATTTATGTATTTATTAATAGTTTTTTTTATTATTGTTCTTATTTATTTTTTTATTTTTTTTGTGTGTGTGTGGATTTTAGAAGGTTTACATCAAAGTAGTAATTTAATTGCATTTCTTAATACATGTAAATTTTTTCTGACAATTTTTTTTTCTCAACAGGGTACTGTTACTATTCAGTACAACAAATTACATGCCGACCCAAAACAAGGAAAAACGTTGGACATTGCCATGAAAAAAGTAAAACACAGACTGGTAGAGAACATGTCTTCATCAACTGCAGATGCCCTTGGCTTGTCTCGGGCTATATTATGCAACGACTCTCTAGTGAAGAAGCTGGATGACCTTCAGAGAACAGAAGACATGTACAGGTCACTGATGGATCACACCAAGAGATTACTGAAGGCTTTCTTTGACCTCTGCATTGTTTATAAAAGTGAGTTGAAGTAATGCATGTACTTTAGACAAGATTATGTGCGATGTGCTTGGTATTTTTTTTGTTTTTTGTTTTATTTTTTGCCTCCTATATGTCAAAATGGGAAGTCTTTCTGGTATTATCATAGGCATATTCAACAGGGTTTGGTGATATCTTCTGTGAAATTGGTGTACGTGAACTCCAGCAGTCGGCAAATGAAGCTTTTAACCAGTTTGGTGAAGCACATCGTCAAATGGAAAAGTTTGGGATCCAGATGCTAAAGAGACTAAAACCAGTAAGCTTTATTGTTACTGCACGTTGCTTTTTATCTTTTGAATAGTATATGTGTTTTAGGTCAACAATTATACTGATAGAATATAGAGGAGTGTGGTATTTGTATATAGATGTGTATATTAATTTTTTTGTTAAATCCAAAACTTTTTCAGATCTTGAGTGACTTGGGCACATATCTGCATAAGGCCATTCCCGACACAAGATTGACAATCAGACGATATGCCGACACGAAATTTGAATACCTCAGTTATTGCCTTAAAGTGAAGGAAATGGATGATGAAGAGATGCAGTTTGCTCAGTTGCAGGAACCTTTGTACAGAGTGGAAACTGGAAATTATGAGTATCGGTGAGTTATTACTTGTGTTTAGATATTTATTTTTATTTGGTACATGGATTTATGATGTGAATGAACCTTAGTAGCAATAAATGTCACATGTAACTGGTTTGTTTGATGCTTATTATGCTGAAATACGTTATTTATTGGTTATGGATTGGTAATAAGTATTAAATCCTGATGAAAATGTTGATTGCAAAAGATCAAAAAAATACAATACAACACAACACCTTAGCTCAATAATTTTCAGTAAGTACATCTTAGTAATTTTTTTGTTATTTTTTTCAAGTATATCCCTGTAATTTGCTGGAAACATTTCTTTGCTTATATTAAACCAAACATTTTCAAGAAAAGATATCCACAACTCTCATTATATATTACATAGAATTTGTAAGTCGTAGCTTGGCAAACATGATCAAACATTATTTTCAAGGAAATTTTCTTACTTGTCTCATTTTTCAATAATGGTGCAGTATACGTATTGATTTAGATATCCTGATTTTATACAATAGAGTGTAGGGATTCATACAGGTTCTTCCTCCTCAGATTGATCCTTCGTTGCCGCCAAGATGCCAGGGCCAAATTTGCCAAACTGAGATCTGATGTTCTTGTCAAGTTAGAATTGCTGGATTCGAAACACGTCCAACACCTTACTGAACAACTTACTAGACTCATATCTGGTCTTGCTACATACCACAGCCAGTGTCAGGAGCTTATGCATGACAAACATTGGTTCCCAATTGAACTGGACATGGTTGGAACAACTCTCCAGTCAGATAATCGCAGTGACAGCATACAGGTATGGTGGATTTTTAAATGCATACCTATGAGATAGATCAGAGGAATATATGAATTATAGTCTCGTATCTTCAGATATCCAGTCCCTTTGTTGTAGGATTATGTATCTTTAATAATGATAACTGAAATTATATCCAGAGTGAAGAGGATGATGAAGAATTGTTGGATACAGAAGGTGCAACAGAAGCAACGGAGGCAGAGCTTGTCCAGCCACTGGCAGACATCACCCTTAATGATAGCAAGCCACAGCAGGAGGCAAAACCGGGAAACTTCGAAGACATTAACCTCTTGGGAGACTTTTAGGGAAAGGTCCGTCAGTTTTTTTATAATCCAGAGTGATATTCCCATTCAAAGGATCACAGTATTGTATGGCCTAATTTGTTTTAGTTTCCTGTTATTTCAAATTGTGCAATAAGATTTTTTTTTTTTTTAATAAAGGATACTTTCCTTTATATTTCGTCTTGTAATATCTCAAGAATTAAGTGTTCATGTTCAGGTTATGGTAGAATTATTAAAAAAAAGAAGAAGAAAATTATCATTTACAGTATTATGGACCACAAATGACATATTCCATCCTTTTACACAAACCCATGTGTAGTGTGGAGAATCTTGCACTTAATAGATATTGGAAAATTATAATAATAGAAAGGAAATATTTTATGCTTCTACTTTATATTTATATATTCTAGTCAGGTTTGCATAAAAGAACAAATAAAATGGATGACAAAAGGTTGAGGTTGAGTAAGCAGTCAGTAATTATAATGTTTAGGAAATAGCTATGGAATGACTTATGTGGTGTAAGATCATTTTGTACTTTTTCTTTTTGCTAAGTTTTTAAAGAATAAAGTCCTGTGTGAAGGGATTGAGCATTGGTGAACTGCTGTAAAATGCTTATGCTATTTTAAAGTGTGTTGCTGTTTTCAAGTTGTGTTCATAGATATTGATTCTAATGTTGATAATTTCTGAAAAATCTTTTCATGACTTTGTCCCATGAATGAGTAAATTTGAGGTTGAACCAGGAAAGTCGATAAAGAGTAGCCGTAGGAGAAAAGAAATCTATATACTAAATTCCACAGCATATTGGCACTGACTATGGCCTTTTTATGTTGCACAAAAGTAATTCAATCATTTGTGTAACTCGAAGATATCCTATGTGTTAGCTACAATGTTTTATTACATAAAGGAGTCTTTGAAATGTTTAGATTTTTTCCTTTTTGTTAATGACCTCTTGGATTAGACTTTCAGTTGCCATTCATGGATTTAACAGTATATAGCAAATTATTTATCTGATGTAAATATTTCGCCCTGATGATTATGACATGTCCTCATTTTGATTGTTGTATTTTGATGTTTAATTATTATTTTTATTATTGTAAAACTTTTTTCTAAGGATAGATATTAAAGAAAAGGTAAATTTCTCCATAAAAGATAGTGAACATCTTATGAAAGGCAAAGTGGAAAGAATATGAAAACTATTTTGTCTTCCAGTTAGTAGTTGCAGTATCTCTTGTGTGCAGTAACAGGTAATATTAATGGAATTGAAATATTATTCGTAGTCTAATGTACAGATAGTAGAAAAGAAACCTATTTGAGAAAATATATTAAAGCCAGATAAGCTGTTGGTATGTGAGTACTATTGCAAAGATAATGTTTGCTGGATATTTAATTGTATTTCACCACATAATTCTAGCCATTGATAGAACTGCTATTTATGAAGTCCTTAAAAAAGTCTCTCAAAAAAGAAAGTACAATATTACATTTAGTTTGTAGGATTTTGAAGTCGCCAGTGCAATAGTGTTTCATTATATTCCAGATCATATTAGCTTCATTTTCAAATTCAGAAAATTTACATATATCTCAAATTTATATCTTGACACTTCTTTACATGTTGATTGAAGCAAAGGTGCTATATATCTTTTGCCAGTGTAGTTTATTTTCATTTCACATATATAAGGCTTTTTGATTTTGGGATATTGTCTGGATCTCATGACATTTCATTTTATTAATGCACTAATTTTGTGTTTGTTCCACTTTGTGATTATCTGTGTATGCCAAAGGTGAAGATTACATATATTATAAAAAAAAAAAACTTGCTCTTTTATTTTTCCCCACACTGTATGATTAATGTTGTTGACTTGGAATTGAAATGGTCAACAGGGGCTAACTCTTAGTGTGACATATAGGGACATAGGAAAAGGGACCTCCAGTAAGAATGTGATGTCCCATGAGTTTCACACTTAGAAAATGTTGTCAATACCCCTGTTGGTTTTACTGCTAGAATCCTGTTCTATTTCAGCCCATTGCTTAGAATGATTATCTTTGTGGTTTCTGTCACTGTTAATCACTCCTCTTGGGGGGGGGGTGAGGAGAAGTGAGTGAGTGAGTGAGTGAGTGAGTGAGTGAAGTGAGTGAGAGTGAGTGAGAGAGAGAGAGTGAGAGAGAGAGAGTATTCTTTTAACATTGGATTTACATTGTCACACACACACACACACCACACACACACACACACACACACACACACACACACACACACACACACACAACACACACACACACACACACACACACACACACACACACACACAACACACAACCACACACACACATGTACACACACACACACACACACATGTACACACACACACACACACACACACACACACACACACACACACACACCACACACACACACACACACAACACACACACACACACACACACACACACACACACACACACACACACACACACATTACATATTGGTGTATATATGTATTTATATATATATATATATATATATATATATATATATATATATATATATATATATATAATATATATATATATATATATATGTATGTATGTATGCATATGTGCATATACAGTGTCATGACCCAGCCGACAGAACGAACGTCACTTAAAACATTTATATAATCTAACACTTACCTTACACAAGAAATGACAGCATTACCACGTTCAGAATAGACGGAAAGCATACCCATTTTTTAGGAGGAATCTTCAAGGACTGTAGTTCATAAGACCTTTCGAGAAAATACTGAAAGTAAAAACACAAATAACAAACAGGTAATGCTGTCGATAGTGTTAATGTTTGATCTGCATTTGTGTATCTTTCTGATATGCAAATGCATATTTTTATAGTATTTTATTTCGGTCATGAATTTTTCATGATGCATGGCGGTCTGGAGACTTCCTTTCATTAACATGCAATGGATGACAATAGAATGCCGGCTCTACTTTTATTATGGCAGTTGGTAAGCGATATCCTATTATCCTAGTCTCCCTTTATATGCAAAATGTTATTTAGTCTTTTAACTCGTGGTATATTCAGAAGTATTTGGTTATTAGTATTAAATTTGGTTGATATACACACGTACGAGCGCGCATGCACACGCACATTTGTTCTTATAATGCGTACATGAATAAATATATATATATGGTGCGCGAGCGTGCGTATGCGTGTTTGTGAATATATAAATATTTATGTACATATACTCAATATACATGAGTTGCTTGCAGGTGTGTTTGCATGCGTGGGCTGAGCGCTTTCATGCCATATTTGCCACCTAGTTAAATTTGCATAAATTTGGCTTCCATGAACTGAACTCTCAGCAGATTTACATGGATGTTTTGGTAAAGGTTTCGCTAAAGCATCTTTTTTATCATATCAAAGGACAAGTCGAGACATCAATGTGATGTATATTTAGCAGAAGTTGTTTACATAGGCCTGTGTTCGTTCGTTAAAGAATGAGACTGCGGACCTAGCATTTTCTCGCTCGATACGGAAGAACTAGCGGTTGGCGGTTGGAGTTTGGGTGAGGGAAAAGAAAAGATGATGATGATGAATAAGAAAAAGACGGAGGAAAACTAAAAAAAAAAAAAGAAACTGAAGAATATAAAAAAAAGTAGAAAAGATGAGGAAATTAAAAGACGGAGAAAAAAATAAAAAAGAAACAGAAGAATATAAAAAGTAGAAAAGAAGAGGATGATGGAGAAAAAGACGAAGAAAAAGAAGAGAAAAATAAAAAAAGTAGAAAAGAAGAGGAAGATGATAATGATGAAGAAAATACGGAAAAAAAAAGAAACAGAAGAATATAAAAAGTAGAAAAGAAGATGATGATGATAAACTAAAAGACGGATAAACATAAAAAGAAGAAACAGAAGAATATAAAAATGTAGAAAAGAAGAAGAATGGGGTAGAGGCGGAACCACAACGTCACTCAATACTTTTAAAATATTGGGTCAGCGTTTTTCGAATACGAACAACCACAAATATTACTAATGATTATAATATGCAGCTGGCAAGAATATTCAAATAGATATAAATAGCATCTTGGTAAGTTATTAAAAAAAGGAGCACACACACACACACACACACACAACACACCACACACACACACACACACACACACACACACACACACACACACATCACACACACATAACACAAATACAAACACAAACAAACATATAGACAGACACACCCACAAACACACACACACACAGACGTCTGTTTGTGTCCACTCGCCTCTCTTCCAAATAAGGGCATCCTCCCTCCCAGCATCCAGCGTTGCCTCGGACAATGCGGAAGCCTCGTTACCCGGGAACAGCCAAGACAACCCCTTATTTGGTCGATGGGAGATGATTTCGGAACATATTTGGAGAAAATGAGGCTGTTTGTTCGGGTGGTGGTAATGAGCACGTGATGTAAAGGAGGATTATGAAACTAATGATGATGGTGACAAGGGGAAAACATACATACAAACACGCACGCACGCACGCACATATGGACACGAACGAACACACGCGCACACACAACACACACACACACACAACGTGCACACACACACACACACGCACGTGCACACACGCACACGCATCACTAATAATAACAAAAATGATAACAATAATAATATTACTATCACTACTGCTAATAATAATATAATAATAGCGAAAGTACTGATCATGTTAATATTAATATTTATGATAATAATAATGATGATGATGATAATAATGATAATGATGATAACGATAATAATAATAATAATAAGATGTTAATAATGATAATAATGGTAATAGTAATAATGATAATAATATTAATGATAACAATTATGATGATAATGATAACGATGATAGTAATGATAATGTAGATAATAGTAATGATAATAAAGAAATAAAGAAAAAAATATGAAAAGCAATCATATCAATTACAATAATAACAACAATAGTGATCTTAATAGCCATAATGATAATGATATAACGGAAAAGAAGAGAATAATAGGAAGAAAAAGAAGAGAAAAGACGGAGAACCATAAATGCAAAGAAATACCAAATAAAAAAGAAAAGAAAATAGTAACAATAAATAAACGGCGAAGAATAAAAAGGAAAAAAGACCCAAAGAAAAGAAAAAGAAAAAGAAGAAGAAGAAGAAGAAGAGAGAGAGAGAGAGAGAGAGAGAGAGAGAGAGAGAGAGAGAGAGAGAGAGAGAGAGAGAGAGAGAAAGAGAGAGAGAGAGAGAGAGAGAGAAGAGAGAGAGAGAAGAGAAAGAGAAAGAGAAAGAGAGAAAGAGAAAGAGAAAGAGAAAGAGAAAGAGAGAGAGAGAGAAAGAGAAAGAGAGAAAGAAGCGTGAGAAATCCCCAAATCGTGACTGGGGTCCACCTCACCCGGTCACGTGCAGGGGTCCCGTTCTCGAAGCCCCCGGAGTGCAAGCAGCGCCGGCCGTCACGAGGCGAGGAGGACTGACCTCCCCCCCCCTCCTCTCCCCTCCTTCGTCCTCAAGTGGGATGAGGGAGGAGGGAACAGGAAGGGCTTAGGGAGGGAAGGAAAGGAGGGAGAGAGGGAGGGAGGGAAGAGGGAGGTAGGAAGGAAGGGAGGGAAGGAAGAGGGAGGGGAGGGAGGGAAGATTGGGGGAAAGGGGAGGAGGGAGAGGGAGGGATTGAGGGAAGGGGGAGGGAGGGGGAAGGGGGGAAGGGGGAGGGAGGGAGGGAGGGAAAGACTGGAAAAAGGGGGAGAGAGGGAGAGGGAGGGAGGGAGAGGGTAGGATTTGGGGGAAAGGGGAAAGGGGAAGGAAGGAGGATTGGGGGAAGGAGGGAAGGAGAAGGAGGGAGGGGTGGAGGAAGGGGAGAGAGGAGAGGGAGGGAGGGAAAAGGAAGGGAGAGGGAGGGAGAAGGAGGGTGAAGGAGAGAGAGAAGAGAGAGAGAGAGAGAGAGAGAGAGAGAGAGAGAGAGAGAGAGAGAGAGAGAGAGAGAGAGAGAGAGAGAGAGAGAGAGAGAGAGAGAGAGAGAGAGAGAGAGAAGACAGAGGAAAAAGACATACAGAGAAAGATCTGACAACTAGACAAAAACACACAAAAAAACGAAAAAACAAAGATATAAATACATAGAGGCAGAAAAAAAAAAAACTTTCCGCAGTGCTCTGTTTAGGCTTTACGGAAAGACAGAAAACGTAAGCCGAAGCCATAGCCACAAGAAGGGATGTTCGGCCTTTAGCGATTTGCGTCACCCACTCTCCCGGAATTCCTTCATGTTGGATTAGCCACATGTGGGGATTACACCGAATTGAAGACCATTTTTGGCTATGTAGCGGGATTAAGCACATATGTTTCGTGTGTCGCTTCCTTTGTTAAAAGACAAATATATAAAAGTTTGTTTATAGTATCATATAATATATAATATATAAAGTTATATATATAAAGTTAAATATATAAAGTTATATATATAAGTATATATATAAGTTATATATATAAAGTTAAATGATATAAACTATTATTACATTCGATGGGTATGTTCAATTATATGTAGGCTATAAATATTCTGTCAATGTTTCTGTTAAAATTGAT